GTGATAAAGGGATAAATTGCTTAAATTTATCAATTTATCCGCATCCTTTCATGAACGCACCTTGGTAAATATTCGCATAAAACTGTTGATCATTTAACTTATATGGCTAGTTACGTTTCATTCTTACCTCGTCCATTGTGTTCATTTGCTTTTATGTGTTCGTAGCAAAAGCGACTACCTGGAAACCTGTAGGGGTTGAATTTTGCTTAAATTTATACATTTATCCACCAAAGTCGTTTGATAAAGTGATAAACTTTGGTTACATAAATTTCTATACAAAGTTTGACAGTTCATTTATTAAAATGATAAATTTATCACTTTATCAAGTTTATCAAAAGCTTATCACTTTTGATGAAGACCCGTATTATTTATTCAATAACAGAACAAAAGAAATAAACAAGAAAATAATATTTGTTCACAATTATTAGCACTGATCTGCCATTGTAGGAATGAAATACAATAATCAATTTTCTTCTGAACGACACCAGCTGGTACATACGATAAGCTGACTGTTTTTTCTCTGAAAACCAGAATTGTCTCAAATTTAGTGACTTGAGATGACACTGGATTACTGAATACCATCATAACTCTCAGTGCGCGCGAGTGACGAAAGCAGCTACAGTAGCATGCTGAAACATTAAGTATACAGTATATTTTGCTTATCTGCACATCCTTCTTTGCACGAAAAACTTGTGCACTTAACCGAAAAAGGCACTTAAGCGAATTTTCTTTACTACTTCAATGAGGAAGGTATCCGAATCCCTATGAAACCAAATAATGGAGAAGCACTTACTACGTAGAAATTACTGCAAGCGAAATTTTTACCGAATGGTATCTAATGATCTATATAACTACATAAATTTATAGCCATTTTCGTTGTTCTGCGAGATGAGCAAAATAAATAAAAGCTTGTAAAATAAGGTAATTGTAGGGCCAGTGCAGGTAAACGTAATACTTTCTTTGATAATTAATACTAGTTGCACAATTTTTAAGGCAAGTAACGCCAATGTGCAGATATGTTGAATGCATCTATCGGAGCAGTTTCCTTATAAATGGTAAAAATAATGCCTCGGATGCGCATTTTGGGGAAGGTATCTTAAATGTGCACTTAAGCATAAAGGCAGCAAAGCAAAATATACTGTACTTACATTTTATCTCAAACTAAATAAAAAAATTTACTCAATTTATTAAAAACCATAATTTAAAATTATTTTTATTGAAATTTCTTGTTCCTTCGAAACTCGATAAAATTGAAGTTTTCTTTATTTGGAATAAAATTATAATTAAAAAATAATGCTGCAAAGCAACACTTTTCTGTAATTCCAATAAACACAGAACCCTGTTTCATCTTTTTTCGGAGCCGCACAAAACCCTGGTCACCAAACAGCACCTCGGAACCCTGGCATTTCCCGTTTTTTCGCGAATTATTTCATTCGGGTCGTAGTTTTGCAGCTTCGGGCCGTTCGGTTTTGCTTGCCATATTGTTCACACTGTCATCGCCATATTGAATACCCTGTCAACTATCTGTCAACCCTAAGATATCTCACTTGTATTCTCCCACAATGTTTTGTAATCACCGCAACTAACACTACCGACACTGCTTAGGTTCCTCGTGGTTTGTGAATGGCAACGGCCATTCACGGAAATAGGAAACGTAGCCCACAAAAAATCCACATACGTCCCACAAGAAGCACGGTTACCTTCTCTCCAGCTTTATACCGTAGCACACTAGCAATTTTTATCGATCAAGTTTGCGCAAACTTTCGCTAAAGCTAGTTCAGAAAATTGTATGTAATCCGAAAATTATACTTAAATAGATCAAATAAACTCCTCACATTACATTATCGCTGACCTGTAAGTTAACATTACTAGTCCAATTCCTTTTTTGAGCATAAAAAATAGATTCCCGAAAAGACGACAAATTTTCTGCTATATTGGTTGAATCTTCGGCCAATATTAACCCTTAGGTAAAAAACCAACAATTTCGGTCATGCAACCCTGTAAATACTCATGTTCCAAACGTAAAGCGAGCTCCACAATCAATCCACTCGTCACTCATTAAGGGGCCATACCACTATCACGTGCGTTCGTCATGCAAAATCAAAACTACACAATAATAATAAAATATTAAAAGTTTTAAGATCAAAACGTATTTAATACCCACTATATTGCTTGCCAACCCAAAATGATCTTGTTTTGCGCCACCCTCCTAATCTGAGCGGAATAACATTATTTGCAGCAAAAATGACTCGTTACTCGGCAATGCACAAACGCACAGAGGCGGTTGGATATTCCCTAATGTGCAGATTTTGCGGCAGTAAGCACCCCATCAGGCTTTGCCCTGTATTTTGGGCTAAGGCCCCGAAGACCGTCTACGCGATGTGTTATTGCAACTGCCTAGCCGGGACCCATGGAGGAGTTTCACCACACGCTACTGCATATCGGCGACGCAGCCGAAAAGCGCACGACCCGTCGCCCCCCGGAGCGCTGCCAACGATGACGACGACAGCGATGTAATATCGATCGAAGCCTCAGAAGTCGAGAAGGAGGAGGTAGTGCAAACTGGAGCGGAAACCGATGGTTTCCGCCCAGATACTGCGGCCGGAATGGAAACGAGTGCTTTCCATCCAGATAACGCAAGCGGATCGGAACCTCTGCGTCTCCGAGCGCTACTCCAGCACGAGCTCCAACGACAGGGTTGAGAAATTACAGAATACCGACCTCCTCCCACTGGCAGGGAACACAATCCCGACGTCGGCGAAACCGTCCGCGACAACATGGGAGAGTGGAATCGAACGCATTCCGCCGCCCAATGAGAAGCGGTTTCCGAACCGGGCTAGCGACGAACCCGCAAACAGCAACGTACGCGCTTCAATGCCTGACGCCAGTCGCACCGACCGCTGTAGTCAAGATCGAGGCAGGATGGCGCCTTCATTTAATCCGCGCACTTATTGACCCGTGTGTTATGACTTCAGTGATTGCAGTGGGCCTCGCTCAGGAACTCCGCTTTGGCATTGGAAGTCTTTAAGTGCCCTTTGGCCAACTGCGGATGTTCTTCCATAAAATAAGCCATTAATTCGAACTGCGCAAGTTTGGTGTGCGCCGTTTTTTGTTGTATTCCCTGTAAAAATTAGATTTTTTTATTATTTTTCTAGCAAAATAATTAAATTATTTTTGATTACTTACATTTTTGCTTGATTTGCGCGCGCTAGGCAGTTGTCGAATAAAATTTGCCACTTTCGAAAGCTTTTGACATTTCATTTCGCGGCACAGAGTGCCACAAATGCGAAAAAGCAAAAAAGGGAAAAAAGAAATTCGAAGATCGCTTTTACAGAGTGTCAAATGTACGAATTCAAATATTTTGCTTTTAGAATCGCAATAGAGAGTAACCCCCCAGAATTGATATGAAAGGTAATATATGTATGTATGTGGATATATGAATAACGACCGCTTAAAATCGATCTCAAATTTGTACTTTCTCTGTAGAAATTTTAGGCCTGTGTTATGTAGTTTGACTATTGTATTGCATGCGCCCCACGCTTTTCATTTTCAATCACTTAAATTGTTTATAATGACTTTTGCTAAGATTTCAAAATCAAATGTGATCAAAAAAGTTCTATGAGACTGAGAATTATTATTTTCTACTTTTTAGTCCATTTATAAAAGCGTTGTATATTAAAAAGTTTTTTTTTTTATTATTTATTATTTATATCAACAACACACGAAACATGAAGAATGTCTACAAGCATATGAAATACAAACACGGGGGACAAACATGCACAACCCTTAAACACTTCAGTAAACTGAAAGTAAAACTACCAAACAAATAACGTAACTAACTATTAGAATGTAGACGTTTCGAACTGATACCCTGAAACCTGTCGAATGCAATAAAACACATAAATATAAACACAACGTCCCACAAAGTAAAAGACAACAGAACCAAGGAAACAGCGAGATGCAAATTGAGTAACCGAATCATTCAATTCAAAAGGAACATTAAACACAACTCAGCGGAGAAGTTCATATTAGAGACTTCTAATAGCACCAAAGTGTTTCTAAAACAACGCAAAGATGAAATTATTGTTACTGATGCAGATAAGGGAAATAAAACCGTTATATTATATAAAGGGGACTACACGGGAAAAAAAAAACTACTTGAAGACAAAAACACTTACAAAACAATAAAAAATAATCCGACAACTATACTACAAAGAAAAAACAATACCATAGTAGATGACTTATACAAAAACAAAATCATTGACAGGAGAGAAAACTGCACCTAGACTCTACGGGTTGTCAAAGACTCATAAACCGTGCTTGCCTTTACGGCCAATCTCATCATCCGTTAATGTCCCATGCTATGGTTTATCTAAATACGTAGGCAAAATTCATAGAAAGTTCACCTCGGAGAAATTTAACATCAAAAATGCGTTTGAACTTTGAAATATAAAGGTTAGAAAACATCGAAATACACGAACAGTATTTGTTGGTGTCATTCGATGTGATCTCCCTATTCACCAACATACGGCACATCTAGCAATGAGAATTATTATGAACAAGTGGGATGAAATTCATCATAAGAAAAAAATGCCCAAAAATAAATTTAATAATATCCTGAATTTCTGATTGAAAGAAAACAATTATTTCACTTGCAATGGAGGTTTCTACGCTCAAACCTTTGAGATGCCAATGGGCAACCCTCTATACTGACCCACTATAACTGACGTAGGAATGGACGATCTATTGGATAACACTATTTTGAACCTGAAGAAGTTTTTAATATTGACATCAAATTCATTGATAAATTAGAAGCGAACCTCTGTATACCACTCCTAGATGTCATGGTCCACCGAAAAAATTACTCCATTGCACTTGACTGGTACGCCTAATAAACTATTTGTCTTTGCAACCCTTTAAGTAAAAGATCAACACAGCTAAAAATCTAATACACAAAATATTAACAATAAGCCACCAACAATTCAAGGAGACGAACATATGCAAAATAAAGAGAATTCTGTCCAGCAACAACTACCCACACCACCTAATACAAAGCCTAATCGAACAGGAAGTAACAGAAATAAACAAAAAACAAAACAAAACGCCAACAACGGAAACAACAGACGGAACAACGCAATATCACAGTGTGACGTATATTCAAAAGTTCTACCAACAACTTGACCATAAAGTAAACACCAACAACCCTAGTATAAAATTGACATACCGAACCAACTGCACACTATATTCGATTTCCACGCAAACAAAAACGCCAATTAAGCTCCATCAACAAAACAACGTGGTATATCAAATTACATGCAAAGGCAGCGAATACGAAGACTGCAACAAAGTTTACGTAGAGACAACTAACCGAGCATTAGGCGTTCGTCTTTCACATCACGAAGCGGTATAAAGAAAAATAAAAACAGCACAGCATTAGCATAACACGTACTTACCAGTGGTAATACAGCTGATCTAACTAATGTCAAAATACTGGACAAGGAGAAGAGGGAACGTACAAGATACACAATAGAGAGTTTACGTATACTACAGAAAAGGGAAAATCAACAAGAAGGAATTTAGTTTGACGAAATTCCCACATATAGATGGTAGCAATGTTCTTTATGTTTTTCAATGCATTTAATGTTTTTTATATGTATTTGCCTTTGTGAAGAAAAACTCAATGTAAGTGTATATGTAAGTCATGCGGTTAAAAAAATAAGTTAAAAAATCTATGATTGTGTTTGTTTTCAAAACAGAAAAATAAGTTTGTTTACTAATTTTTAATTTTTATATGTTTAAAAACTCATAATCTCTATTTCAAATAACCTGGTTTTTCCAGTTTTTTGTTGATATTTGTAATAAAAAAATCACCCCTGATTATGCTAAGGTAGTTAGCAAAACGTTTGGCAAAGAGTGGAGAAAAAGTGTTTTTCTTGCACATTGGAAAGTATACAATTTGGACACTTCAGAACGCGACTGACAAGTAGGAGGTTTGTTCCTTTTTTCCACAATCGGATTCGATATTAACTAGGAAAAAAAATATCCGATCGGATTGTGAAACACTATTTAAACTCCGAGTCGGAACTGAATTCCGATTCCGATGCGATTCCGACTCGGATTTCAGAACAGGGCTGATAATACCCAAAGGCCTTTTTTTTCAAGTCATCAGATCTGCACCGTTCGTTCGACTTTCGAAAATCAGGTGCCAAATGTAAGAGCATGGGCTGTAGATGCTATGATTTACCGTTGATCTTTGACAATTTATGTTCGACAATTTTTTTTTATATGAAAAAAATGTTGAGCACCGTCAACAAAAAAACAGATGCCAAAAATCAACGCTAAGTCCTAGATACTTAAAATGTATACTAAAATTTGATGGGCTTCAAAACTGAATACCAAAATTTTGTCTAAAGATGCTGATCAAGAAGTTGTAATTTTTTTTTTGTTTTTGTTATTTTTTTGGCCTTATAACAATTATATTCAACAATTTACATTGAGCTCGAGGCCGTTTTTTAAATGAAAATTTA